TATATATATATATATATATATATATATTCTTATATATTCCAACTTTCTTTTTATGTACAAACCATTGTTTCTTTTTTTTTTTTTGCTTTTCCCTGGAGAGACACATACCAACAAACAATAATAATAATAATAATAATAATAATATCAACAGTAATAATAATAATAACAATCTCCATTTCCCCAAAAACGTTTAATCACCACATACCCTTCTTCATTTTTTGCATTCTTCTTGTTTATATAAATATATATACTATTTACAGTTAGATACAGCATGATTTGCATTGCCCATACAAATCCCCTTCATATATACACTCAAAATAGTCCTCACACACATACAGTAGTTTTAATTATATATATATATGAAAAACACTCACACCTTCTTTTTCTTCTTCGATATCTCAGAAATGTCAGTCATCATATATATATATATATTATTTGTTGTTTCCATCTTTTCTTCCATTGGCAAATGTAAAAAAAAGAGAGAAAAAACACATAAAAAAGAAAAAAAAAAAAACAGCTCTTCTTGGGGAAAAATAAATAAATAAAATAAATAAATACTTCTTTTCTTCGTCTTCTACAGCTGTTGTTTGTTTGTTTGTTTACCCTCCTCCTTTCCTTCATTGCCGTTTACTTACGGTAGGATTAGACGGAAGAGAGATTTACAAAAAAAAAAAAAAATGTAAAAGAAAACTCAATTGTGTGAGTCACCCGTAAATAATCAATCATTGAATGAATGAAGACTATCAACAATAGACTCCCTCATTGACGTTCGCGAAGCCGGGAAAACAAAAAAAAAGAAAAAAAAGAGACCATGACTGCGTCAACGAATATAAAGAAACAGTAACAATAGCAAACATTTTCATCGATCGGATAATAATTCAAAAAGGGGGAATACTAAACAAGAGACAATAAATGAAAAAACTAAGTGCATACACATACATTACTCCTTCATGTACATATTAATATCATATTATATGAACCCATATCTATCTATATATATATATATATAGACATCCATCAATCTTGTGATTTCCTTTGTTTGTGTGGGTTTGTCTCTCTCTCTCTCTCTCTCCCTTTCATTTTGGTTCTTTTTCTTTAGTTTTTTTTCTTTTTTTTTTTTTACTATTATCGTTTTCTTGTGTGTTTCTTTTTTTTTTCTTTTCGCTTGTCTTTTCATGTTTTCTTTTTTCTTTTCTTTTATCTTTTTCCTCTCTCTTTCTCTCTTTCTCTCTCTCTGATATTTACTTTGGACTATCCGATCTAGGATGGTATTCCTCCGTATCTTTACTGAGAGACGCAAAGCTCACATTGCGAAGATAATACGACATGATGTTCACATCACTGATATCCACTGTTGTATTGCTGGGCAGCGTATCACTATCAAACACGGCAGTCATAAAGAGAAAGTGTTCAAACATCACCACTCCCGTTGAGGAGGTGCGTTCCAGTAAACATTCATATATTTTCTCCTTCTGTGGCTGTGTGAGTTGTTTCCGCATTCCCCGCCCGAGTTGTTCCAATCCCAACATGAATTTCTCCCGTGGAAGTGATCGATCGCGGGAGGTGACTTTAAATAGATATGGGAGTTGACTGCGGCCCTGAATAACAACACTCTGCAGTTGCTCCATCGCCTCCAAATCCCACCGCAGGGGATCCACACTCGCGCTGGCGGAATCATCCGAGAGCATTTGAACAAATTTGGGTCCATCAATGTGGGCAGTGCCGTGTTGATCAAAGTGAACAAAGAGTTGAAACATTTGAATATCACTCATTGTATAATCAATTACACGAATGACGGAACAGAAGTCATTATAATTGACTTGACCTTTATTAAAGGCAGCAGCCACATATTGAGAACGATGATTAGCCCGTTGTTGTTTAATAAGATGAGAACTGGCACTTTTTACCCAATCATTTAACCATAATGGTTGAAGAAGATTATGAAATTTCACAAGAAACTTTGCATACCATATACGAGCCTCATCATCTTCTTCTACAAGATACCCACGAAGATAAAACCAGGGAAGATCTAAATTAAGTACATTTCGCATAGCCTCTGTCCATTCAATTTTCCATAAAGATCCTTTACGTGTACGATCAAGTTTTGTAAAGTATGTCATGAGTCGATGTCGTCTTGAATAAATCCGTTCACGCAATACACGCAAGACATCATCTTTTGCTCGTCGCCGCGGTGCTACTTTCCCTGCATGCATACTAGCAAAGGATGAGATGCGACCAAGTGTGGGTGTAAGTGTATCGCCCAATTCTACCAATTGTTGTATTTCCATATCATCCTCCTCTACAAGATAAGTATAGAAGGAGGGTTCTGGATTATCTCCCACAAAGACGGCATAACTACCACGATTGGTTTCTGGTCCATCGTAATTACTGGCAGAGAAGACCGTAACGAGTTTACCAGCATGATGTTCCTCATATCCACGTAGACATTCCTCATGCGATCGCACCACAAGTTCCAATCCATTATTTTTTAAAAATTCTTGAGTGACATCCGCCCCAAACTCTACACCCGCCCCGCGTTGACTTTCTCGCCATCCCTGTAGTTCTTCTACCGGATCAGACCAGAGAAGATCTTGAAAGATCTCATCTTCTTCCGGTTGTGCATAATCCGGCATAGGGATTTGACGAAAACGTTGAATACGGGAGATATCTTCAATACTTACACCCTTTCGTCGTGGGAGTCCACCATGGACGACGAATACTTTCTTTCCAATAATAGTGGCCAGTGGAAGTGCACAGAAACAACGTTGAATAAGACGGAAAAGATTACGATCATACTTTGTACTCACCTCCACATCAAATCCATACTCATCATTCATATAATCACATTCATGATTTCCACGATTTAAGGTGACATACTTTGGACAGGCAAGCATAAGAGAAAAGATAATAAGTAAAACCTCCACTCCATTTGCCCCACGATCCACAAAATCTCCATTGAATATATAATAAGTTCCATCATTAGGCATGCCACTATCTTTAATAATATGAAGTAAATCTGCCAATTGACCATGCAGATCTCCCACCACAACAACTTTAGATCCCTGATTGACACGACCATTCGACACACGTGCGCCTATTGGGGGACTGAGACGAACCACATTTGGTAACGTATTAAGATGATTCATCGCATCTGTAAAGATACGCCAAGCCGCTGGATAAGGTAATAAAACATGATTGGTAATATCTTCAATCAATCGAACTACAACATCCACAGTAATAGGTTCCGTAGATCGTGTGGGGAAATAATGGGATGAAATAGATGGGGCTACCACAGGTGTTTGTAGAATAGATCTTGAACGTTTGGGTGCTAATACGTGAGAATCCGTTACTTTATCATGAGCTTTAAATATAGCAAATCCTTCCTTCTTAAGATCCATTTCCTTTAACGTTACGCGGAATATAGTTTCCTCAATCACTGATTTTGCCTTTATCCAACGCCATAGTAATTGCATACGAGCTACATTAAAATTCACCTGTGGTGGAGCTCCAGTCGCACTACTATTTTTATTTGCCTGTCCACCATTTAAATACCGTTGTGTTAATGCTTCCTTTGCAAATGGACCATGTGTAATGACATCACGTGTAAAGAAATTCTTTGGACACCATTTTAAAATACGTGTAATGCATACTTCTCCACAGGCTGGACAGTGTTTGGGTTGACAATTATCCCGATGTGTCTGCATCTCCGATGCGAGCATCTCTGTTCCGCATTTATAACAAATGGCCCGTTCTCGCTTGGAGCATTCCTCTAAGTGTTTATCCAACATTCCTTGTTTGACAATCTGTCGACACCATGAGTTCAAACACGTCACCTCCCGCTCATCACACTGCACGGTGTGCACATTATATTCCTTGTAGGGAATTCGTTTTCCGCAGAAGTGACAGGTGGGCCATAATGCCTGATCTCCTGCGGGGCCGTGGCCCGCTGCAGCGCCATTCATGCCGGCCCTTCCGCCTCTCGTGCTTCTGCCGGCGTTGTTTGCATTTGAGGTTTGGGCTCCACTTCGTGCGTTGGATTCCTTTGTGTTGGAGCAGCCCATGAATAAGGAATCTTTAAAGATGAATATATATATATATGTATATATATACCCTCTTTATTTTTCTTTATTTCTCTTTCTTTCTCTTTTCTTTGGTGTGTGCGTGTGCGTGTGTGTGGACACTATCGATGGCGGAGAAGTAACTCAATAACAGAAACACACCGAATAACGATAGCAATAGTAATAGAAAACGTGGAGAACTAAAAATCTCACTATTGTGTTTTTTTTTTTTTCCTGTTTCTCTGCTTTTTTCTATAGAATATATAATAGGGTAAATCCGATGCGCTTCTGCAGTCTACTGTCTTTTGTAGTTGTTGCTTTCTTGATCCTTCTTCTTGTTGATTTTTCTATCCCTCTCCTTCTTTCTCTCTCTTCGTATTGTTATTTTTGTTTTTTACTTTTTTTTTGCTTTACTGCTTACGTTCACACACTCTCTTCTCTTCTCTTTTTTTTTGTTTTCCGCTATTCCCACAACGTGTGTGATTCTTTTCTTTTTCCTTTTTTTTTCTTCTTTCTAAATATGTTTGCTTCCTTCTTCTTTTCTTTTCTTCCCCTGTGGGCACCTATATACTATATATATATATATATATATATATATATATATATATATATATATATATATATATATAT